TATCTTCTTTGGAGAAATGTCTACTCAAATACTTTGCTTATTTTTAAATTGGGTTGTCTTTTTATTATTGAGTTGTAAAAATTTTGATACAAGTCTCTGATCAGATATATGATTTTCAAGTTCACTTTTGTGATTGTGTCCTTTGAGACACAGAAGTTTCTCATTTTTTTTTTTTTAAAGATGACCAGTGAGGGGATCTTAACCCTTGACTTGGTGCTGTCAGCACCACGCTCTCCCAAGTGAGCTAACCAGCCATCCCCATATAGGGATCCGAACCTGTGACCTTGGTGTTATCAGCACCACACTCTCCCAAGTGAGCCACGGGCTGGCCCAGAAGTTTCTCATTTTTATGAATCTATTTAAAAATGTATTTAATTTTGACTTAGCTATTTTTGCTGCTATTACTTGTATTTTTATTGTCATATCTAAGAAACCATTGCCTAATCCAAGTTCACAAAGCTTTACTTTTGTTTTCTTCTAATGGGTATTTTAGTTTCAGCTGGATCTTTGAAACATTTTCTGTTAACTTTTGTATATTGTGTAAGGTAAGGGGTCCAACTTCATTCTTTTACTGTAGATATCCAGTTGTCCAAGTACCATTTGTCGAGAAGACTGTCTACCCATTTAATTATCCTGGCCCCCTTGTTGAAAATCAATGGACCATAAATGTGTTTATTTCTGGACTTTCAAATCTATGCTATTGCCTATCCTTTCCCAATACCACACTGTTTTTTTTTTTTTCCTTTTTGTCTTTTTTACTGACTGGTAACGGGATCACAACCCTCAGTGTCGCGCCCGTACCAGGGACCAGCAACGGGATCGCAACCCTCGGTGTTGCGCCCGCACCGTGCTCAGCCAGTGAGCGGGAACCGGTCTCCACATGGGATCCGAACCCTCGGCGGGAGCGCTGCCACACTCCCAAGCGGCGCACTCTCCAGTGCGCCACCAGGCCGGCCCATCATACTGTTTTAATTACTATAGTTTTGCAGAAAGTTTTTTTTTTTCCTTTTTGTCTTTTTTACTGACCGGTAACGGGATCGCAACCCTCGGTGTCGCGCTCGTACCGGGGACCGGCAACGGGATCGCAACCCTCAGTGTTGTGCCCGCACCGTGCTCAGCCAGTGAGCGGGAACCGGTCTCCACATGGGATCCGAACCCTCGGCGGGAGCGCCGCTGCGCTCCCAAGCAGCGCACTCTCCAGTGCGCCACCGGGCCGGCCCAGAAAGTTTTGAAATCAGAAAGTATGACTCCTCCAACTTTGTACTTCGTTTTCAAGATTGTTTTGGCTATTCTAGGTCCTTGTGTTTCCATGTAAATTTTAGGATCAGTATGTTGTTTTCAGAGGAAAGAAAATCCATCTGGGATTTTAATAAGAAGTGTACTGAATTGATAGATCATTTTGGGGAGTATTGCTATTTTAACAATATGAAGTTTTCCAATTCATGAACATGGGATGTCTTGCCATTTAGTTAGGTCTTTTCTAATTTCTTTCAATTACGTTTTATAGTTTTCTTGTAGTTCTTTTGTTAAATTTATTCCATAGGAGATTTTAACACACCTTCTCAGTAACTGGTAGAATAGAGCAAAAATAAAATCAGAAAATATATAAAAGCTATGAAATACATGATTGAAAAATTAATCCAATAAATTTATATAGAATGTTATAATCAACAATTATAGAATACACATTTTTCAAGTGCACTTTGAAAATTTTTAGTAAGTTTTGATCTGTAGTAGTAAAAGTCCTCAAACTCTGCTCTTTGAGATTGTTTTAGTTAATTTTGGTCATTTACATTTTTATGCAAATATTAGAATCACCTTGCCAATTTTCAAAAAAACTGGCTGGAATTCTGATTGGGGTTGCATGGAATCTCCAAATCATGTTGGAGAGAACCAACATTTATGTATATATGATACGAAGTCTTTCAACCCAGAAACATGGTATATCCTTCCATTTATTTAGATTTTTTGCTAAATAATGTTTTTTGTGTACCTTTAAAAAATTTTTATTTTGGGCCGGCCTGTGGCTCACTCGGTAGAGTGCAGTGTTGATAACACCAAGGCCACGGGTTCGGATCCCATATATGGGATGGCCGGTTTGCTCACTGGCTGAGTGTGGTGCTGACATCACCAAGCCACGGGTTGAGATCCCCTTACCGGTCATCTTTTAAAAAAAATAAAAAATAAAAATAAGTAAATAAATTAAAATTTGTATTTTAATTGACATTGTAATTGTACATGCTTATGGGGTACAATCTGACGTTTTGATAAGAGGCCAAATTCTTATTACACCACTCCCTCTTATATTTGTGCTTACATCACCATGCCCAAAGAATTGACACCACCTATGTGGTTTCATTATGGGAAGGGCCACATCCTCATGCAGTCAGTCCGTGCCCAGGGGCCCTACGAGGAAGCCACCAGCTTTCCAGTGCTTTCAAAACACCATGTTGCTGTTTGCAGCCCAAGTCCAGCCATTCTTCGCTCAAAGAAACAAAAGTCCTAAACATTGGTGTGAGGTAGGAAGCTTTATCATCAAATATCTGAGGAGACAGTTAAACTAAAAAGGTCTGGAAAGGGTTTTTAAAGGGAGAAGTGTGGGAAACAGAGTTTAGTCCCATCAGAAGGCTGCTACATGAAATCTTGCAAGCTCCAGGGTTTTTTTTTTGTTTGTTTTTGTTTTTTTAAATCTTAGGGCCAGTTCTGTAACTGTTTCATTCATCCTTGGAACACGGGTGTTATCTGGCTCCCAGAAGCTGGATGCTGTCTTGTTCCCAGACAGCTGTAACTCCAAAGGAAGAATGGTTAGCGCACGAAGTTACTGATTAGCTCTTATTATTTTGCTCCTCCTGAGCACTAAGTCCTACAATGTTTTCCAACAAGCTATGCAGTGAGCCAAGGTTACAAAGAAACTTCTTTATGGGGGCCGGTCCGGTGGCACACTGCTACAGTGCGCCGCTTGGGAGCGTGGTGGCCCTCCCACCGAGGGTTCGGATCCCACATACAGACCGGTTCCCGCTCACTGGCTGAGCAAGGTGTGGGAGCAACACCGAGGGTTGCGATCCCGTTGCCGGTCCCGGTCCGGTACGGGCGCGACACTGAGGGTTGCGATCCGTTGCCGGACACGAAAAAAGACAAAAAAGGAAAAAAAAAAAAAAAAAAGAAACTTCTTTATGGTTAGCATTCTGCTTAAAGCTGTATTCCACAAAACGGCTCTTCTGTGTCTATGACTATTTGCTGTGGTGGGCTCTTACATTCCCAGCCCGGCCCCTTCTATTTCAAACAACTCTAATTATCAGTCAACTTTATACCTTGAACCAAAATATCTCTCCTTATGGTTCCCACACGCTTTTCTTCCTGTGGGAATTGGCTTCTTTCTCCCCTACAGTTATGGATGGTAGTAGTAATGACACCACGTTGCAGTCCACCCCAATGATACAATCATCCCAACAATTAGTTGTAGGGGTTGGAGCTCAGACACTGAGGCCAGGCTGCCTGGGCTTGAGTCCTGGCTCTCTGCCAATTTGGACAAATTATTTATCCTCTCTGTGCCTCGGGTTTTTCATCTGTAAAATGGAGATAATAATCATCTCTGTGAGAACTTCCTGACAATCCTATTTAAAAATGTAATCTCTTTCCCCAGTTCTCTCCTTCCCTGGTTAATTTTCCTTCACTAGCCATTCTAATCTGACACACACTGCATATTTTGTTTATTGTCTGTCTCCCCTCTGAGAATGTAAGCTTCATGAGGGTTGGAATTTTTGTATCTTAATTTTCCTTCACTAGCCATTCTAATCTGACACACACTGCATATTTTATTTGTTTATTGTCTGTCTCCCCTCTGAGAATGTAAGCTTCATGAGGGTTGGAATTTTTGTATATTTTGTTCACAGTAGCTAGTGTTTATCCCCAATGGCTAAATAATGGTGAAAACATATTTGTGGAATGAATAATGATTATATTAGCTAGCATTTATTAAGCATTTATTTAGTTATTTATTAAGCATTTATTTTATATCGAACACAGTTCTATATATTTTAAATATATTAACTCATTTATTCCTCATAATATATCATTATTCCCATTTTACAGGTGAAGAGACAGAGGGTGGAGTTAAGTAACTTTTCCAGAGTTATTTAGCCAAGAGTGAAAGGAAGAGTACATGTTCACCATCCATCACCGACTCTGGGCTTGTTTCTGGCATCCCTGAGTTGGATTTCCTTTAGAGCTAAGTCATTCAAGCATCCCTCCTGTACAGCCTTGTTCAGGATGCCCCAGCAAATCCACTGGTCTGATGATAACCACTCACAAGGTCCAAAACGAATCTCCTGCTAGGCTATTTTCAGTTTCCCATTAGAGCTAAACATTGACTCAACCTTGGATCAGTCAAGCTATCACATATACACCTAGAACAATCCTAAGCAAACTACATGCATTCTTTGTAGTAAAGAGAGAGTGTGTGAAATGATGTGGGGAGGAATAGAACAGGCCATGGTTATGTATTTCTAGGAATGTTTCTTTCGAGAGGATTCACCTCTGCAGCTTTTCAGTTTGGCCATGCGGACAATTTGTAGATTCGTTCTCCCGAAGACAGATGGGGAATAACACAAGTATTTAAGTGACAAGTTTCCTCTTAATAACATTCTCCTCGGCTTTATTCCCAGCTTTATTTATTATCAAGAGATGTAAACACTTTGCAGTTTCCCAGAGAGAAGCTGAGGTGCCGGAGAAATTTTACACTAACGTTACAACTGCAGCAATCTGCTGTTCTGCAGGAGAGTGTAAGAAAAAGGTAACGCTTGGTGTAAGACACTTGCAGAGCCTCAACTTTCAGAATCCTTTCAGAACGTTAGATTTGCTGATCAATTAATATGTAAGTGAACATTAAGGGTAATAATGACAAACTTACTTGGCATTTTCTGTTTGTCAAGCATAGTGCTGAACACCATACATGGATTCTCTCAGCTAATGGACACAACATTCCTATGACAGCTAACAAAATGGGTGAGCATTAATTGAGTGCTTACTATATGCCAGGCATTGGTCTAACCTCATTCGGTATGTTACCTCACTTAATCTTCACACAATCCTGTGAGGGAGGGACTTTCTATTTCCTTTTTGGAGAAAACTGAAGCCTAAGAGAGGTTAAATGACTTGCCCAAAGTCACTTTGCGAGAGAATACATGAGGAGGGAATACGAAATCCCAAACCAGGCAGTTCCACCGCAGAGCCTGCTCTCTTAGTCACTAAACTATAATAACACTTAGAATAGTTTGAGGCTATTGATGTTTTCAGTAGCAGACTTTTCAAGGCAGACTTCTGATGCTTTTGCATCTGTCCTATCGCTGGGCAAAACCTTTTGTGTGTTCTTTGATCAGATTTGCTTTCAGAGGACTGAGAGCTCTGTGCGGTGAAGAAAACCTTTCAAAAAACTGGGAGAACGATAGTAAAAATTCAACAGCGCCACCCAATTATAGCACTGCAGCCTCCTTCCTTTTTTGTCCTCCCTCCCCAAACCCCCATAAAAATCAGCTTTACTAAGGAGCAAATCCTACCCTTTTTGTTTAGAAGTCAGTGCCCATAGGCCGGCTCTTGCGAGGTGGTGGCATGAACTCCAGGGTGGGCGGAAAACGCAGCTTTTGAACTGAGCAGGGACTCCTGCTTTTTCAAGATCATTTGTATTATTATTTATTTATTTATTACCCTCCTCTCCCCTCCCCTCCCCTTCGCCCTTCCCTTCCCTCCCTCCTCCCCGCCCCATCCCCCTCCTGGCGTGTCTCAAGATCCTTTTAATATATAAAAAGTTAAGCTCAGGGCCCGCCCTGTGGCGCACTGGAGAGTGCGCCTGCTCCCGCCGAGGGTTCGGATCCCATGTGGAAACCGGTTCCCGCTCACTGGCTGAGCGCGGCGCCGGCCCGACACCGAGGGCTGCCTGCC